ATGTGGCCTATTATGCTATTCTGTTTGGTATGTGTTTAAAATTTGGTATCATAAATGGGAAAGTTATATTGATAGGAGTTTCTAAATTGCTTTTCAGAAGCCAAAAATATTTCCATTCCCACCAACAATATATGAGAATGCCCATTTCCACACACCCTTCCCACACTGGGTATTTGTATTCTTTTAAAATTTTGCCAATCTGATAGGCAAAAATGGTATTCTGTTGTTTTAATATTATGGCATAGTTTTAATTAGAAATTTTGTTGCCATTTGAGGTCGCACCTCAAAAGTCCTTCATCTCCAATCTCCAGAAACAATCTGTTTGTTTCATGTTCTGTCTAAAAGGAAAGTTGTACTCAGATAGCTCTATGAACCCTCACATTACAAGACCGAGTAACTACTGGTTTAGCATCTTTCTTTATTATGGTTCCCTTTCAACAAGCACGGTTTTTATTTGTGGCTATAACACCTCCGTGATAGACAGCTTATTCTGTGACAGGATAAATTCTGGATGGAAAACTGGAGTGAGGGTTTAATGCAGATGATAAATGCCTTTTTCTTTTTTTCTTAGCAAAAAGGTTCCTATTTTCAATTGTTTTTAGTGGCAGCAAATCTACTTGAAGCCTTTTTCATATATGCATTACCTTGTCCTTAAGAAAGGCACCAGTGCTCTCCAGACCCAGAAGCACAGTCTCCTCTCTGTTTCTGAAAAATGAACATGTGTGACTCCCCACACACTGAGAAGGAAATATGCTGCTCTGATAATTGGTCTCAGTAGGACTCCAGAAACATTGTGTTGTTTTTGCTGCTGTCCAGCGTAGCATCATATTTCACTTCTCAGATAAATTACATCCTGAAATGCATTGTGTAGTTGCAGAAATAATTATAGGGAGTGATATTAAGTGGGAAGGAGAAAGTGTGCCATAAGTTTAACAAATTCTGTTTCCTCCTGCTGTGTTTTATTGCGCATGACAAAATGCACAGGATTAAAATATTTTTGTTTCATATTCTTTTCCTCTAAGTGTAATTGGCACACATTGCTCACCACCTTACTGCCTGGCCATTGTCTCTGGAGCCAGTGTGGTTACCTTGTGGCTCTGGTATTCAAGGTGTGTGTGATGTTTACCTTCTCTGCTGCCCTCGTTGAACAGATTTAATCCCATAGGGGCCATTGTGATGTAGTGGAAAAAGCAGGGCAGAGTCAGAGTTGGAATTTTATCTCTGCCACTTAGGAGCTTAGGTAATGTTAACCTAGCCTCAAAGGAATTTAAAACTATGCCTCGCTCTTAGTAAATGTCAATTGAATTTGAATTATTAACTAAACACATTTGTAATACATGCCTACTGTGCGTTAAGGTATATGCTATCTAGAACTATACAGTTCTTACTAGAAATGATTGTCATTGACCCTTTTCATTCCTTTTCAACAGTAGTTTGCACGATTCTGATATGTGTTCAATCTCTGCTTTAACATCAGTCTTTCCAGATAATGGCTGAAGCTTTCAAGCCTTTCATTGCCACACACAGTCTTTTAGGGGAGTGCCAGCACGGGGGAGGAGGAGGTTGTTGGTACTTTTTTAATGTCAGCTTTCTCAGCAGTGGTGAGAAGCCAGCAGTAACCTTGCCTAACCAGTCTTTCTAGCAGCATCTATTGGGGGGGGGGATATATATATATATATATATACATATACATATATATATATATATCAGCTTCATTGGAATAACTGAATTGCTGAATTCATTCTTTGAGGTTGGCTTTGCAAAGAGATAAAGAATTTATGAGGAGCAGAGGTGGATATATGCTTTGGATGGTTCAGTGGGTGATAACATTCACCACCGGCATAAAATTTAAGTGCTTAGAATAAAGGATGATATTGAAATTGTGCTCTGAGATAACAAGTGGGAACAAAGTAGCTTCTTTGCAGGATCAGGGGAGGATGCAGAGAGGTAACGCAATTTTATTGCCAGAAGTCCCCTGCTCTTTTCCTTATTGAGTCCTTACCTCAGTGGGCATTTTATTCTGTTTTTATTGAAGCTGAAGCAAAAGCAGCTCCCAGAATTTTGTCCTCCTGTATAAAGCTCCTAAAAGGCCCTGAGCTACAGAGATGGAATGTCACATAAAAGCCTGGGCTCCTGGGTTAAATGAATGCATGTTAAAACATGCATATGCTATTTGAGGTAACTGACTTTATCTGCTTTCTGGAACCTGAGTATTTCAAATGTTGGGCAATGATCTTAAACTGCTGTAGCACTCATGCTCTGTAAACACACATTATTGTTTCATTATAGAGTTTAAGAAGTTCTCAGACTTAGATGTACACCTAAAAAAAGATGTTTCTGTGACTAGCAGCAGAGTTCCTTTAGATGCCTAAAGGGATTGATGTCATTTCCCAAAGGGCCAAATATATTTTCACAAACTAATCTTCGTTGCATACCTAATGCTCAGCAGTCTTTTAAGGTGTAGAGGAAGTATGTGATGTCATCCCCGTCCTTACAGAACTTAGGATAATAATAATAATCTATTACTAACATTAAGCACTTACTAAATGCCAGACACTCTACTACTGGCCTCATAAACGTATTGTTTCATTTAGTCTTCACAACAGTCTATAAAGTACAGATTTGTTACTATGTCCATTTTACAGATATAGAAACTGCGGTTCAGAGAACTTTATTAACTTACTAAGTAGTGGGCCAGGATTTTAATTCAAATGTGATTCGAAAGCTCCTGCTCTACTTCCCTGAGGTGCAGTTGCAGCGGCAGGATGGACTCACATGAAAATGCACACTAATTGAAAAGTAGATGGTGTTTGGCAATGGATGCAAAGCTCTCGGGGATTGCTAATGTGTGAGATGTCAGAATCAAGATTCTAAAAGATCTTGGCAGACTGGAAGAACAGAAGAAGTAATAAAATGAAATTTACTGGAGATAAATGCAAAATCCCCTCCATTTAAGTAAAAATCAGCTATTTAAGCCCCGAGGAGGAGAAAAATGTTTTAATAGCATTCTATGAGAAAAAAGGACTCAGGGATTTTAGTTATCTGCGGATTCAAAATGGGTCAGCAGTAGAACAGTGGCCATCATAAGTGGGAATGCAAGCTGATGCTATCTTCATAAAGATATGGAATCTACTGAGGACTAAATGAAGATAATAGAATGGTGAGAGATCTGGAAGTTTGGCCATGTGAGAAATGATTGAATAAATAAGGGCTTTTTGATCTTGAAATACTTGCAGAACTGCCTTCATCTGGCAGAAGAGTTAGATTTTTGCTATCTAGCTTGAGAGGGGAGTCATAAGTCCTGACCAATGCATAGAACATACATACGTACAGGGAGATCTTAACTCCACAGAAACCATCATTGAACTATTCCGAAATGATTGGGCTGCCTTGTGAAGCGATGAAATGTGGAAGCTCAGGCTGAATGATGTTGTAGAGTGGGATTCTATGACTCCAAGTGAGATCAGAGAAGAGGAAAATCAGGGAGGACTAAAGCAGTCGGAGATGGTTCA